AGAGCCCACATGAATACCATTCTAAAATTACTCAGCATCTACTGCAAATAGCGTCTATAAAGTATGTTGACTAAGAAGTGATCCAAGATCACTGTGCGACTAAAAGAGAAGGTCCTGCTCTTCTCTGAACAAAGAAAGGTCATATTTCAGCAGGAAAAGTGAGCTGATCTGACGTGTACATGGCCTCTGAAGGACTATTCAACGTTGAAGACATGGTAAGAATGTGCCTTTTTGTGCAGCAAATCCTTAGATCACCTTAGTGAGCCCTACATGTCTTAAAAATGAAGGAACACACAATATTTTTGATACATTAACTACTCTTATTAAATATTTTCATAAACTATTAGGTAAATAAACAATGAGAAGCTTTTATTTCAAAAAACTATTTTTAAGCAAACACTAAGTGGAAAGTCATTGAATTTTATGGAACATTTTTTAAGATGAATTTTTAAGGAACTTCTACTTTATATTGTTACCTCAGCTAATTATGTTATGTGTGTGTGTAGGTTCATAGGACTTGAAGATAAGTGGAGGAAATCTTTTCAAATTAGTAAAACACTTCAGGCCAGATGCTGTGAAATCCTGTTTTCTAATCAGAATCCTAATTTTCTCTTAAACTGGAGGTTAGTGAGCATTGGTTATGCAAGGACCATATTAAATTTGGCAGGAAAAGAAATTAAGTCCTCTTTGATCTGAGAAGGCAATGTGGCTTTTAATTTTTGTCTTTGCTGCATATTTATCTCCCAAACTTTCCCTGTTTGTCTCAGAACAGGCAGAGCCCTCTGAAACTTTATTGGGGTATTCAGCTGATTGGTTTAGAGGAGCTTTTTTGTTTTATACCTTAATAACTACTTCCTGTGAGAAATCAATTGCGTTTGAGGGAACAACCTGATTTTTGGTTTAATTGTCAATAGTTGAGCAGATCTCTAGTAGTCTCAAAACATATTTTAAGTTTTTGGGGACACGATTCTGCCCTTCCTTTTCTGAGGTTAAACTCCTTTTTATTTTCTCCCCATGTAGTACATCATTCACCAGAGCGCTTGGTACAGGAATAATTGTTTTCAACTTTCTGCTATCTTGCATCTTTCAGCACAGTTTTTTATATTTTATTTCCATTTGTTATCCCACTACGGGGGACAGTAACTTCTTCAGTTTTATGAATACTGTTCCTAAAAGTACCAGAAACAGAAAAAGACAATATTATGGTACCATAACTGACCTAAAGGAAACATGGTCTACATTACAGGTTTTTTACTCTTTATTTCACCTCACGTTTTTTAATGAAAATACTATGTGGATATTTAGTACTGTGTTGCCACAAGTCTATCTACTCTGCTTTGAATAAGGCAGAAGTAACTTTACAGAAATCAATACTTGTGACATTAAAACTGCTGTAGTGAAGACAACCACACGGGAAGTGAATGTACAGGAAAAAGTGTAGTGTCTGCTCTGTGTCCATAGAGCTGAAACAAAGGCAGAGCCCTGGAGGAGGGGACAGAACCCCAGGCAATGTGCTGAAGATAACAGGATATTTTGTAGTATGGAAATCCACTAATTGTGTTTAAAAGAAAATTAATCAAAAAAAGAGAAATATCCTCAACTGCAGATCTACCCATTATGGTGTCAGAAATACTGTCATCTAGCTTTTCTGCATAATGCAGCCTCTTTACTTACCTGGCAGTAAGTGATCACTCCATTGTTTGAAAATCATGGAAATTAACACAGATAGCATGAAGAGAATTTGTAGCACAGCTGTAAAAGTCTGTTGACAAAACTCACTAATGAGAATTTCCAATTAAAATAACTGATTAGGAATTAATTCAGCTCATTGATTTACATTTTTAGCTTGCTTAGGCTACTCATAACATTTCAGAGTGGTCCGCTCAGAATGGTTTGATGTCACTTTGGGTCAAGTTTGTTTCTAAAGTAGCCTCTTAATAGAGTGGAGGCTTGTTGTTCGCTGAAAATGTCTGTGTGGGCACACTTGCTGATCGTATATTAATGTCCATCTTCAAAGAGTAGGGAAGTAGCTCCTAGATTTAATGAAGACTTAAATGCTCTTAGCCCAAGGGAACATTATTTAAAGGATAGCACCTTGGCTTGGTGAGTCTTATTTGCTCTGCTATACATGTCAGTCATGTGGAGTCGACCTCTAGAAACAGAAATAATTTTGTGCATTGTTTTACGTAAACCTATTCTTCCCTGTCCCACCCCTGCACAATGGAGGTTATTTGAAGGGCATCTGCATTGAAATTTATTGCACTGAAATTTTTAACTCTGAATTTGCATTAGACTACTACAATCTCTATTCCTGGTAATCACAGAAAGAACTGCACAATATTTCAGATTACTAAAGCCAGTAACTTTAAAGAACTAACTGCCAATGCTATAAATTGAAATTCCAAGTATTTATTTGTTCAAGCTAACACTGAAGAACAGAAAAAAAAATCATATATCGTATTTTGGCAACATCTATAATATAACCAAAGGCTCAGAATATTCATCTTTTCTGTCAAGAAAAACATTATTGTACCTCCCTTAGTCATTCAATCTTTTCAAAAATATCATTATTTCAAAGAAGATGGAGCATACCTGCTGGCTGCCTCTTTGTGGGGAGGTCACAGTGACAGACACAGGGAAGAAAGAACACTAAAAATGTCCTCCCTTCCCAGTCTCCAGACTTCCTCTTTAAGTACTGAAAATACTATTAGCAAGTTTTGCTTAATTTGATTATTTTTTTTTTCCCTAGCAACAGTTAATTTTTACAGACATTGGCTCAAAGTGGAAAACATCACCTATCTGATTATCTTCACCTTTAAAAATAAATAGGCATAAAAAAACTCATTAAGAGAAATGTAGACATTTCTGGAAGTATTATGTTGCAACTTATTTTCAAATTATAATACGTGATTTAGTAATTAAGAACTGAAGCAATATCTGCCCAATTGTTTACCTAAAGACCTTATACCCTGAGTAGGCAAACACTATGGCACTTTGTGCCATTTCACCTGCAGACCTGCCATCAAAGTGAAACCGTCACCTATTTGAGACATGGAATGGTACAATTCCACATGGATGGCATGGAATATGCTAGAGCAGAACATATTGAGCTATTTCATATTTTTACCTTGCCTATGATAAAGACTCATCATAAAACTTTATCAGATCAGAAGGTGTCCAATTGCCACAGAAATAAACAAAAAGCGCAAATTCAAGCATAATGAATGCTATCAAAGCACATCCTTTCCTATCTGAGATGCTTTTGACAAGCTGCTTTAAACTTTCTTGTGTATTGCATTCTTTTTTTAAGAGTTGTTCCTTTACATATATGCTGTTCTCTCTATTTTCTCATCATCACACTAAAAATAACAAGCTGGTATGCCCTTATATTAAATACCTAGTGTTAACCAAACCATCAGCCACCTACAGCTCTGACTCCTAGAAGAGAAGAAAATAAATTTTGCATGCATAAAATAACAATACCTGAATTCCAGCTTTTCATTAAAAACTTAAATACCTTGTAAACACTTCACATAATCTAAAATGAACAAAGCATTAAAAAAATGAAACAAACTTTATTTGAGATTGTTTCTATTACTTTTATTGGCTACTTGGCGTCTATACCGACTTGATGAGACCAGCAATGACCATCTGTCCTATAACTGATGCTTGAACTACGAAATAAGTATGACAATATTGGGCAATATAAACACACCATTAGCAAGGTATCTTTGCACAAATTATTTAATCAATAAAATACCTAAATGGAAATAATATGGAAATTTAAAAAAAAAAAATCAACAATTACATCCACGTTAATACAAATTACAAGCTAATTTGGGAGTATTTAATTTATTTGACATGACTCCATAAAATGGAAACAGAACATTTCTACAGTGCAAAGAGACTTTATTGGTTTTATAGAGTAAATCATGGTGTTTTGAAAAATAAGATCAGTTAGAAAATGTGGAAATAGGTCATAGGTATTCCAATTTTTCTAATAAAAATGCTCTACAAAATACTTGGGTGGGTAACTAGTATATCCCTGAAAAATTAAAATGTGGCTCTGCTCTAAATGAGGACTGTGAAAATGACTTCATGATATTGCACACATTTCATTACAAGGTCCCCTACACCAGGGCTTCTCATTTTACAAAGAAAACCTTTTTTTTCTTCTAAATGTCAGTCTGCAAATTTACCTTCAAGTACAACAGCCAAACTGATTTTTTCCTTCTCAATCATTCTCTTAAAAATTACAATTACAAAGGTCAGGTTAGTCCTGAATGACATCTTCATAGTGTGTTTACATTCAGTTGGTTTGTCCCTAATCCAGCCCTCATTTTCATCTTGATTCCTTATAATTTGTGGCATATCTATCTTCCTAATACAGTGCTAGCTGGGTTTTTCTGCATTTTAGACAAAGTAGACTGTAGATCCTTACAACCTTTTTAGAAAATCAATTCCTACTGAAATGTCTCAATATGAAGACAGTAATCACGATAAAAAAATGCCTTTCACTCCTACTGCCAGTTGAGCGTGCTTTGACTCATGCACGTATGCACATGAAAGCCAATTCTGTACCTGGAACAAGATAATCTGAACAACTCTGGCACACATGAGAAAAGTACCTTGTCATGGTGGTTTCAAAAGTTTTATTTAAAGGAGTAGTAGGAGAATGGCAAATTAGAAGCATTGTTTAACCTTTCTGTATTTTCAGACTGAATTATAAGGTAGCTTTTTAGAACAGAAATTTGTCTTTTTTTCTTTTTTTTTCTAATCTGTTCTTTGTTCTGACTAAAGTTTACATTTGCCATGTTTCAAGTATGGGATTATTATCCACGTTTTTAACAGGCTTGGAATGAAGTAAGCATAAGAAATAGCAACAATTTTCTATACCACTGCAATAAGCACTCTAGTTTCCTAACTGTGAGGTGGAGGGAAAATACCAAAAAAGAGAGATTTAAACAAAAAATTAAAATATGTAAACAATTAAACCTTACCTTGCCAGCCTGGTTTGCACACTGGTTTGACATTAACTCGTACTAAGACATCTTCTGTTGCATGTTTTTGCCCACAGTCAAAAGCTGTTACCATTATCTCATACTGGTGGTGTTTATCATAGTTCAGTTTCTCGGTGTTTCTGATGTTACCTATAGATTCAATATAAGATAACATTCAGAAATTCATTCTTGGCTAAGCATATACAAACTATAACATTTGGGTCCTGGTTAATCAAGTCCTTCGTGACCAGAAAATGCTTTGAAGCAGATGGGACGTCCACAGGCAGGACAATTATGAGGAACAGGAAGTATTTTCTTTCAAGCCAGCACAGAAATAAAGAAGTTCTTAGGCAAATATAAGATGTTAGGGATATAATATAGGCATATCTATATTAGAAAACATCTGCTCAACACTTTCTAGACTGTAAGACTAATTAGCAGTTACATCTTGAAATGTAAAGTATGAGTAGGTGCAGGCTCATTTTCCATATCTTCCCAAAATACACTGCTTTAACATGGCAACCACATTCCTGAGATCCACTGCTGAGCATCTCCTCAGCCTAAGCATCTTTTTTCTCCTAAAGCTATTACCCTTTAGATGAGAAAGATTTTTAGCCCTTTAACACCTTTCCCTGCATTTTAAAAATAGGAAAAGCTCCAGAATCACCTTCTACATTAGAACGCTTAGCAGTATTTAATATGACAGCAGAGTTATCACATGGAAAATAAAACTCAGCAACAACAGAGATCATGTGCTGAACCTGGCACATAGATAAAGGCAACAAATTACCTGTTTGGGGAAAAAACATTACAACTTTCACAAGGAAATGGAAAGATCTTTCTCAGAGTACTTCCTGCAGACTGGAAGATTACCGTGCAGAATGCATGTTTTTGTAATTAATGAGTTCAGCATTTTAATTCTGTCCATTTCCACTGAAATGCACTTCTGCTGACATTGAAACTTGAGACTGTTCAAGATGTTTCACACTTTTGCTCAGGGCTGTTTGTTATACTATCTCTCTGAGAATGTCCGCTCTGGAATTTGAGAAACAAACTTACTCTGGATCAATGCTACACATAACAACTGCTTTCAAGCATGGATCTGCAAAATCAAGTTGTTTGGGCTAAATTTGGAATGGGGAGCACCAAAAGCCTAGAATTTAGTCAAACACAGTGATTCCCACAGGTGCTGGTCAAGGATCTGTTGTTAGGTGTGCTGGCATTGTCTGGGGTTTTGGGTGTGGGGTTTTTTTTTGTTCAAATGAATGAGACAGGCAAAAGCAGACTAATGCAACTTCTTAAAAAGGTCTTTCACTAAACCTCCATTAGTTCGACAAGTAAAGACTTTTAGCAGGTGTCTCTGATGCACACTCCTTATCTTGTCAGACCCCAACACTTTTCTGACTACTACAACACTAAAGGCAACTTTAATAGTTTAATTGAACCTGATGCAAAACTTTTCAGGTCAGGCCTGAAGGAAGGCTGCTTTGGCAATTATCACTGTCTTCAGGTTCAAAATTTGTAGTTTAAATAGACCCTTAACATCTGCAGCTATAACTCAGGCCCAATACCCCATTTTCTGTTGACTTAAAGTCTTTACCCCTCCCTTTCTGAGCAGGGTGCAGAGGAGGACAAGCCCTATCACAACTTTTATGTCTGAAATAGAGAAGCAGAATGACCTACTGAAGGCCAATACGGAAACAGTACTGCGTCCTACAGCTTCTTTGGTTCTCTCTCAGGCACCTCACCTTGCCAGGCATTTTCATGTCTGCCATGTAGATAGCTCTTCCCATCACAAAAGCAACTGCGAAAATGATATAAACTACTTTGTTATTTTTTAGTTTGTAACTGGCAAAACAATTTAATCTACCATTTTACTATCTTGAGTTTCTTGATTAGTACCTAAGAGGATTTAATGAAAAACTGCCACTGTATACTTAATTATTCATTTAATATCTGCTCAGTAGTACTTTCCTTTCTGCATTACATTATTTCTTACATGAATCCTTCTACTTCCCTCTTTGGTTCTCCTTGGTCTTATTTTGGTCCATGATCAGCAGAGGTAATTCTCAGGAAACCAAAATTGTCCGAATCTACATTAGCAGACTGCTAGAATTTGCATAGCACATTAACTGTCCTTTAAGATTTATGAATCATTACAACATATTTGCATTTCACTAAATCTGTCTTCCAAGATCTGTATTTCATTATGGTCTTTTATGATTTGGACTACAAAGATTCTATTAGGTGTTATTCTGGAAGGTCAGTTGGCTGTCTTGCAGATGTTACCCAATACTTTATTGATTTCCTAATTATTCTATTTTTCTGTTACCTCTGATCCGTTATGGTTCTTTGTTATTTTACAATTTAATCAATATGATTAAAAAGTAGATACAGAAGGGGAGTGCTATAAATATAAACTAATTAAAGTTTTAGAGATGATAGACTGAGAATGTCTATTTATTTCTCACCTATAGACGAAAAGGTAATCAATAACTTTAAAAAAAATAATGGGAGAAGTACTTTTCTACACAGTTCACAATTAGGCCATAAAATTAATTTTTTTCAGTCTTTCTAAATCTCTGCTTTTTCCTGGAAATACCCAGAGCTGTAACTGATTTAAAAAAAAAGCAAACCCAACAAGCAAACAAACAAAAAACCCTAAAAAAACCAGATAAGTGACAACAGGGATATAAAAATTCCTGCATGAGGACACATCCTTTTGCACCTCTATTTCTTCAGGGTCAGTTTTGGGGATAGTCTGATACAGACTTCCTTCTTTTACGGCTGCCTTTCATCTTATTTTGAGCAGTCACAAGAATGGGGAAAGACTTGACTAATTTACCACGGCAATTCCCACGTAAACTCCATACTTACTTCCTGTGTATATAAGAAGTATAAAACTGAATCTCCTAACTCTTAAAAGAGATGATGACTAGCACTGTTACAGGAGTGGTCTCTGACTTCAGTTTGCTCATAGGCGTTGCAGCTCAACATTCCCAGGTGCTGAGAGCCACCAGGAGCTGTATTTGACTAGAAGTCAGTTGAAGGATTAGAATGGCTTCTTGTCAAAAAAGTGCACTTTTCAAGGATAATGGAAAGAAATTATGGTTTAATAAATAAATAAATATAACATGCAAATGCTTAACTATAAAGTTTCACTACTTTTCTGACAATATGAAGTTTGCATAGCTCCTAACACAGATCTCAGTGCTGTAAAGGATAACCTTGTGAGATCCTGTTCACATCCATTTTCTGAGAGATGTAACTTGATAGAACTGTACTGACTGGACAAAGCCAGAAACTCATCTTCATATTGAACAATCTGAACACGTATTTGTGAAGTGCTTCCCAGTGGCAAATATAGTTATGCCCATTTTACAGATAGGTCAGGGTCATGAGAGAATTTGTATCTGTATCTGAATTCTGTGATCATCTGACCATGATCCCTGACAAATGAAGGAAGAAAATGCACACAAATGTTGTTCTGCTGGCATTACAACAGATCTCTGCATTTGGTTTAATTTTTCTGTTACCTGAAAAAAGCTTACACAACGTTGATACCATGACTTGATGATTTGGATTCTCTGCTAAGAAGACAACTAGACTAAACTCTTAAAAGTCTCTTAAAACATACTATATTTTATACCTTTAGTCCCAATTCTTTGCATAGCAAAGCATAAATTTGTCTTTTGCTTTTACATGATTGTATTTTATGACCAAGAGTTCATTACCTTCCAAGTTAGGCTCATCATATACAAGAGTCTATTTTATTACTGGTACAGTTTCATAACACAACGTAATTTTATTCACAAAGAAATTACATACCAAGGGTCAAAGATGCCAAATGTAAATGGAAAGCTTTATTTTACCCACCTTTAGGTGCCTAACTTATAAAGATCTACAAGAACTACACCAGTGCTGAACATTGCTGTCTGTGCCAGTGCTGGATGCCTATCCACTCATGCCTCACACAATTTGATGTGAAGTCGACTGTGCATCACTACAGTCTGGAGGGTTCTCTCTTCCTTTCTGCAAATGTTCCCCAATGTGTAATATAATTTTTCAAGGTAGCAAAATGCCCCCTGGATTGATCTAGATACAAGAGATAAGTTTTGCCTAAAAAGACAATGATCTGCCAAAAGAAAAAAGCAGATGAAATAGCACGTTCATCTTTCCAAAGCCCTGTGTTTGTTGTTAGTTTCATAGGTTGTTGGTGAAAAAAATCCACCATCTGGGACTGATAATGGCATGTTTTCATCACACACCCCCTACTTTTGGGGCCCTCTGCAATATTTAGATTTGATTCTAAGTATTTGGTTAAATACTCTTTCTGGGCAACGAAATTCCACACATGATACTGAAAAGCTGAAAAATTCTAACTTGCAGAAGACAAAAGAACCTAGATTTTATTCATCTTAAAGGTAACAAAAATGGACATGATGCTGAAGAATTTGCACCAGTTTAGTTTATTTCAGCTGGCATAGAGAGACATTCTCAGCACTGAAATATGTTGGAACTAAGCAACATATTTCTGTCACAAAATAAAAGTGCAACCATCTATTCTAATTCTGTCTCTAATCCCAGTGGGTTTAAGCAATTACCATTATCTAAAAAACTGCAAATTAGACTGCAATTACTGTTGATTGTGGCAGCACTTTTAGTGAACAAATAGATCAAAAGATATTAATTGAATTCATGAGCAAGAAATTGCAAGTATTACCACCTTATACCAATTATTCACTGCAGGCTTTAAAGTCATGTTTAAATCAATGATCTTCTCATTGCCTTTGCTGAAAAGCAGGTCCCAGGCACATGAGGACAAAGATGTAACCAAGGATTCCTGACACTTCACATGCTATTGATCATGCCTCTGACTATAAGAAACCCATGATGACTCACGAGCCTGCTGCACTGGGTGATAGGAGCTAAAAAGGCATAAGCAATAGAAATGCCTGCTCTGTATCATGCTAATCACAGCGTATTATTTATCCATGGTATCTGTCTCAAAGCTGGTATGAAATTATGAAACCACCTGTGACTCATGTAAGTAACCAGCCCCATACTGGTAAGTCACGTGGAGCTCTGGAAAAGTAATGGTCTCAAACAGAAACACGAAGAACTTCCTTTTATGACAACATGGGAAATCTCAGAATTAGAAAAAACATCTATAGAGAGGAAAAGCTTCTAGGGGATTGCACATAAACATCTTCTTCCAAATGCCCACTTCCTGTAAAAAATCCTTTGTGCAGTTGCTCTGGCAAAAGATTACTGTGCCAGCTGACCTCATTTACTTAAATATACTCATTTTGATTATACCTCCTATGTAGCATACTTGTCTCCCAATTTATTATAACAATATGGGTTTTTTCCCCAATGTCATTTACAATTTATTGATGCTAACATCTTCTGATGCTCAGCTGTGCATTGTGCAAGAACTGCACAAATAAAGATGAGTAATTTTTGAATAGGGGAAAGGGGTTTTATAAAACATCCCAACATGAAAATGACTGCTTAGAGAAAACAGTAGCTCCATGCATGCTTTCAATTTCCAATTTGGCCAAAAAAATCAGATTTAACTTCCAAAGAGTATTCTCCTTCTACTTACAACATGGATGAAATGCTTCCGTTAGGGAAGATAAATCAGAGCATTGCTGAGCATGCACACACAGTGCTTGTTCTGGGGAAACAAGTACTGTGAGCACAGGAATTTCCATTTTGAACTTCTGCACGAGTATGCACATGTGAATATCCTTAACAAGGACTCTTGTCTACAAAGTGATGCCAGTATAGAACTAAGTTGACAGGCAGGGCTGCCACAGTCAAAATTTGCTGCATATGGAAAACTTAATATGGTTTGTTATTTTTCCTACAATATTATATACTTTAGAAAAACAACTGAAATTAAATGGATCTGCTTCAGGAAGCACCTCAAATGGGTAGATCTGTGGACACCAATACTCTGAAAGTTTTAACAATCAATAAACATATGCAGAATATTATCGATTCAACATTTAGACTCTGCTCCAGAAAGTTCAGAAGAATGGGACTAGCTATAAACCAATGAATAAATCCTATTAGTTTGGGCAACATGCTGCATTAGGACATGCCATCACTTGGATGGGAAACTAGATCTGAGACAATTAAGAGAATGGATTGAGTGACAGAGAAACATATTTCTCATCTAAAACTGGGGGGGTTAATTTCCATAATAAATTACTGTGGCACTGCCTGACCAAATCTTACATAAAACAGATGGAACTTCCCAGTGTTCCTCCATTCTCAGAGATAAGAACAGGATTACTCTCATGAGTTAAAACTCAAGCCAGTTTATCAGCTACTATCAACAGGTAATTACACTTATCTACAGAAATTACTGCTATCTGTCCCAGAACTCACAATTGCTCTTTCTCCATACTCACCATTTCTGTCAATGGCAAAAGGAACATCAGTTGTGACAATTTCGTAATTGCAGATCTGGCTATACTGTGGGGAACAGTCCTCATCTATGGCTTCTACCTGCAGTATGCTGTCATAGATCTTTCCCTCTGTCACAGTGGCCTTATATACAGTCTCCTTGAAAGCTGGTGAAAACTCATTGACATCCTTTACCTGGATATGGACCACTGCCCTAAAATAGGTGAAGACATCAAAGAGAAAAATTAATTTATCATGACACATCACTAACAGTTTGTTTTCAAAAAACTTGAAAAGACTCATAAAACCTATCTAGAAAACTATGTAAACATCTGTTAAAATGAGATACTGTTGAATTTCTATGTTTAATTTGCCTAATTTAATAACTTCATGTGGCACTAGGTAAAAACCTATTGCCACAGCTTATAGGAAGAGAGCTTCACAGTGCTCCCTATTAAAGCCAGTCTGTCTCTTAAAATGGACCCCATCAGAAAGTCAATGATATTATTCCAATGTAAAATGGGTTAATATGGAAAAAAATGGGAAGAGAATTACAGTAGTTTTACATATTCACTACCTAAAAATGGTCCGTTTATGAACATTTTCTGATACCAAATTATGCTCTCAGCTTCTACTGATTATAATTATCTAATCCTTTAATTAGTTACAACATTGTACATGTAAACCATTGAGTGTCAAAAGTAACAGACCTTTAGTATTTAATGACTAAACTCTAAAGGCCTTCCTTTGAAGGACTGTGCTATCTGGTTTGATAGGCAAGGTGACAGAGAAGTGAAGGGACTTTCTAGATCAATGGCAGAGCCAGTAGCAAAGGTTGGGACCCTGACAACCTAGTTTAGCATGTGGTTTACTATACAAACCAGTACGAGAAAGTGTAACAAAGTCTGGTCCCGATGGGCCAGATTTCATTTGGTCAGGATTAGACCAAAATTTTTCACTCGTGGAACGTACTAGCTTGTCACTGACATGTGAGGGAAAAACATCATAAAATTTAATAATATGAAGCAAAAACTGTTTCTGTGAGTTGATTTTTATTTGATATCGCAGGCTTCCTTCTAAATGTGTATTCTTTTAAAGTATCTTGAAAAAGTTCAACGTTCATTATAGAGCTAATGAATTTTTTAATTGTCATGTGTCCTAGATGAACAAAAGGAAGAATGATTACTATTAATCATTTATTTAAATGGCTTTCAGCAAAATGAACAATTTGTACAGCAGTTATACATCTACATGTGAGTTAAATTCATCTTTAATGACAAATAATCTGGAGCTTGGTTTCACGAACTGAAGGGGAAAAAAGGCACTGTGCCACTTAAGCTTATGCAGGGAATTGGCTCCACAGTAAAAAGTACCACCAACTAATCTTCAATATGCTTGACTTCCAGACGATTTCAATTCCTCTAAGACTTGCTGTCCAAAAGTTGAGGTCAGAAACACTGCCACATACTAAAAAAAGAAGGGTAATTTCTATTTTCTCACCATTTAAAATGAGATGAACAGAGAGAAAAAAGCCTATTTAGAAACTGTAAGTATCAATTAAAATCTAGCCTCCATGTCCTGGATGATCTGTTTAGTTAACGTGAAAGCAAGAATGGAAAAATAAACCAAAACTGAGATGCATTTTTACACTTGAACAGGGACCCTATTGAAAGCTTCAACTGGAACCATTGCAGAATGGGTCAAATTGCAGGAGGCAAAAAAGAAAAATATTTTCTAAAAGGAAAAAAGGAATGTTCATGTTGGTTTTACTTTCTTTCTACCTGGGTACTATATAAAAACAAGCCCTTCAATATGATCTGTACTGTAGGCCAAATGTATGCCAAAGCAAAACCCCATTTTTCCTCATTTTTACCCACTTGTGAGATTTCTTCCAGTTTGTTCCACCTGGTCCTGATCCACAGTCATAGGCCTGGATGATGAATGTGTATTCCTTCTGCAGTTCACAGTCAATAGGACTTTTTGCTCGAAGACGACCTTCTCCAGATGTCTTGTTTAGCACAACAGCTTCAAAGGGCATTTCTTGTCCGTGGATTTTAAAAGCACATATTTCACCTGTGAGGAAAAGCATAAAACACTCATAACCAGGGAGGTCTGTCTTATGCACTGGAGTGACACTGGAGAAGTTAGCACTCATTTGCATTTCACATGCTGTTATAGATGGGGGAAGTACAGACTCAGGCATCAGTTTATAATACATCCAGAAGGGCCATTAGCCACATGCTCGTACAGCATGATGCACTGAGTACAGCTCTGGTCACATACTTCCCTCTTCCTCTGTCATTACTAAATGGTTTCTTGAAGCCCTAGAGACTATTCCCTAGACATGGTACTAACATCAGTGTTGAACTAAGCTAGGAAGACTGTATTTAGCTAAAGAAAATAGCAGAAAGAAAAATAAGATAGAAAAATAAAGTGGCATTCCTCAGGGGTCGGTATTGGGATCGACACTGTTTAACATCTTTCATGGCGACATGGACAGCGGGATCGAGTGCACCCTCAGCAAGTTTGCCAACGACACCAAGCTGTGTGGTAAGAATGATGCACTGGAAGGAAGGGATGCCATCCAGAGGGACCTTGACAGGCTTGAGAGGTGGGCCCATACAAATCTCGTGAAGTTTGACAAGGCCAAGTGAAAGGTCCTGCACATAGGTCAAGGGCAATCACAAGCAGAAACACAGGCTGGGCAGAGAATGGATTGAGAGCAGCCCTGAGGAGAAGGACTTGGGGGTGTTAGTGGACGAGAAGCACAATGTGACCTGATAATGTGCACTTGCAGCCCAGAAAGCCAACCGTGTCCCGGGCTCCAGGGACAACTTAGAGCAGCCTTCCAGTACCTGAAGGGGCCTACAGGAAAGCTGGAGAGGGACTGTGTAGAAGGGCATGGAGTGACAGGACAAGGGGAAATGGCCTTAAGCTGAAGGAAGGCAGATTTAGATTAGATATTGAGAAGAAATTGTTTACTGTGAGGGTGGTGAGGCCCTGGAACAGATTGCCCAGAGCAGCTGTGAATGCCCCCTCCCTGGCAGTGTTCAAGGCCAGGTTGGATGGGGCTTTGGGCAACCTGGTCTAGTGGAGGGTGTCCCTGCCCATGGCAGGGGGTTGGAACTAGATGGTCTTTAAGGTCCCTTGCAACACAAACCATTCTATGATTCTATGACAATATTTTAGAGGTGGTCTTTTCTAACTGCTGTCACTCCTTCCTTGAGCCACTTGTGCTGCCGGGTGGTAACAGATGTTCAGATTCTTGCAGTTTAGTTTCTCAACAGTGGAAAAAACTAACGATGCAGAACATAGGCACATTCAAAATACATCTTGCTTTATTTGCAGACATATATCATCTTTGGAACAGAAGTAGTTGAAGGAACACAGACAAGTGTCCCTTTTGGACATCTCAGTCACCCACTCACATTCACATACTCATACATGAATGCCTTCTTGGCAGCAACTCACGCTGCCTCCTAATATAATAGATCCAAAGCTTCTCTCAGAGGAATAATATATAACAAAACAGATGATATAGCAAGGACTAAGAAAATTGATTTGGACACAAAAGACAACATAAAAAAAAAATCCTGTGAGAATATGAGTCTGGAAGGGGAAAAGAAAAAACAGGTTCTGGTGATCCTTTTTTTTATCCTTCATACTGATGGCAAGGATATGCACACTGAATTCATTTTTAGTCACTCCAGAATCCAACTTTAAAAATGAAATATTTATACAAAGACCAATGTGGCTTAAATATTTTTATGACACATTAAACACATGCTCTTTTATGGGCAACTCAGTCTCAGGACATCCATTATAGATTCAAAGCTGTCTCCCACTCACATAATCCTTTTCCATTTATTTCCAATTTACAGTTGCAGCCTTTTGGAAATGTCCTTGCCAATCATATCTGAGTCAACTGCCAAATACTAAACTAACTCTGAATCTATGACCTCTAATTCAAGCCTGGCTCCTCTCTCCCTTTTTCTGTTAGAATATATTGTTTATTTTTAGAGAAGAGAGTAGGCAGTGACTTTATAAAAATGCTGGAGTCCATAATTCCTGTTATTGTGAGAAAGAAAAGATGGGAGGGCTGTGTGTGGGGAGGGTGGGGACTAGGTACACTTAGAGTATAAATACAGGATTTTTACAATATTCCCTCAACTACCATCACATAGGTTTTCCTTTATTATAATGGGAGCCAAAGCGGAGCTCAGCTATATACACTGAAATTTAGGCAAATGAATCTCATACTTAACAATTGTAATCAATCCTATGAACGTCTTTACAGGATCAGCACGCAGTTGTTTTAGTAATTATGAGGCACTGGGAAAATACATTAAGTATTTGCTTGGACATTTGCTTGCTCCAATGCATCACTCAAGCGGGCATGAAAGGGCCATGTGATTTCCCAAGAGAAACAAAAGATGTGCTCTCTTTCCAGGTTCTCTTTTCTTCACCCTCAATGAGCCCAGATTTGGGCTATAGAAGGAATGGATTTTACCCTGAGAATCAGACTCTGAAAAAGACTAATACTTTGCGTATCCATAAAAGCAGGCTCCACACTGCTTGTGAACTGTTGCACAGGAAACAAAGCATAAGATTAAGAGAAGGCTGAAGCAAAGCAGTTTGTTCAGCTTTGATCATCAGCACTGATCACTGAGTTTGTATCTCAACATTGTCACACATACCTTTGAAAAAAAATATCCTAATTGCCCCGCAACTTCAAAATGAAACATTCATTTAAAATGATATTGTGGATTTCGGTTTTATTTTAATTGAATACAAAAATAACAGTGTAAATGTGGGAAGCCTAATGGAAAAATACTATTTGTTGTGTATTATAACCATGACCTTCATAGTTTCTTAATAACTAAGTTTTCCTCAGATGCTCATGCCATCAACAAAAATCGTAACTTCAGTATTTTGTTTTTATTATTTTACTGATCTACTGTTTGACTGTAAACAACACAGCATTTTTAGACATCCAAGCCTACTATTCTTAGAAAAATAGAAATAGCTCAGAGCAGGAAAAGCGTCCTCTTAGCCTTAACCTAAACATTTATCATTTTTTTCCTCTCCAAATTCAGAGACCTGATGCAAAGCAATCACAGAACCAGCACGTGTTCTAACTGGTTCTCAGCAAATATTGTAGAAGTCTCTATATCCTGCTCCTATGCTAGATACTCCAGCTTTACATGTAACTCTAATTTTGTCTTTTACATCCCATTTGCCAAAGATTAAAAAAAAAAAAAAAAAAGAGAGCTGCATGGATATGGGGAGATATTTGTAAAGACACTGCAAAAAATCCCATGTAATTCTGGCTACTGCAACCTACTTATATGAAAACAACTGTATATGTTTTTAGAAACTAGGCAAGAATTTTTTGAGAAGAAGGATTCTTCTACTGTTTCCCAAGAAATGAGTTAAAACTGTTGAAAATTGAAAGTGTATAGTAATCATAATGATTCTAAAAAGGTGCCTTAATGACTATATTGGAAATGGAAATGATAACAGAGTTGTAAGAGCTGTAACAAAGCAGAAGATTAAATAAGGTCCATCTTTACACTGCAAGACACACACATTTACAGATATATAGAACTATACAACTAGGCATTACAAATAGTGATGTCTTTAAAAATATAACTGATATTATTTTTCATTATTAAATGGAGCTACAGGGCTTTACTTAAAACCAGCTGAGTTAACCCCAGACCTACACAACGCCAACGGGAATGTACTGGGTTCTTAGCTACGTATTGTTATGTATCTCATCTGAGGAAAAAGAGACAGGGTCTCTCCTATTCAGACTCACCATTTAAGTTGCAGAACCACCACATTCAGGACCTTGGCACCATCCATCTTCCTTCTTTTTTGTAAGGTTGAAATAATTAGAGTGCAAATTGGGACATTGCTTTCCTCACAACAGACAACACAGCAAAATATTAACCTTTGCTCTTCATTTCATTTGAACGGATTTGGGAACACGTGCATACAGGATTCAGTGATCATAAAAATGGTGGTGGTCTTGAGTTGATAAAATAGGGCTAAGTTGGTGATAACACATCAAGGTAGAAGCACATCCATGAAATCCTATAGCAGGATAGGTCCAGGATAGAAGGAAAATACCTCTTTTCCCAGGACCACTTGTGCATCCTGAGGGTTTCCAATTGCTTGCTATAAAATCTTTTGGTTGAACAGCTGAACTTTACTAAGAGTTGCTTAATTTTAATACATGTTTTAATTAAATTCTGGACATTATGTTTTCTCTTCAAATCATTCAGACTAGCATTAGCCATAAGCACCTATTATTTTGAAGGCTATATTATTTTGAGAGCTCTAGTAGAGATCCATATGTTACTACCTCAGGGATAGTAATTGTGTAATTTCCTCTAAAAATTATAATAGCCTGAAAAAAAGCTATTGACAGTATATCATTTCTGAAATATAACCAACAAATCTTTGCACTGTATAGAAATTTCTAAAGACAATGTTTCATATTCAGCAACATTTACATGCAAGATTGAGATTATAAACCTTAATCAATGAAAACTGTATTACAGATAACTGCCTTTTATATGAAAAACAAATCTCACGCCTCTTTCAGTAGAAATAAAAATCCTCAATGTTATTCCTTAACAACTACACAGAATTATTAACTCGAATTCAATTTCAGAAGTTATTTAAAAAATTGCATGCTTATTTTGCCTTTCACAGCTACCTTTGCTTTTTCTTCAGCTTTCATTACACCAAGAATACAGAAGATTTCAAGTGAAAAGCTGGAATCTCTGACATTTCATTATTTTCATCAATAGTTAATAAAAGACAACAGTTGTATGTGAATCAGCAATCACCAAATGTTATTTAATTTGCTTGTATGAGGTTCAACAAGGCCAAGTGCTGGGTCCTGCACTTGGGTCACAACAACCCCATGCAACGATACAGGCTTGGGGAGGAGTGGCTGGAAAGGTGCCTGACAGAAAAGGACCTAGGGGTGTTGGGGTGTTGGTCAACAGCCAGCTGAATATGGGCCAGCAGTGTACCCAGGTGGCCAAGAAGGCCAACAG